ATTTTGAATGATAACCTTGCCAAGTAGAGTATTCTTGGCTGTAAGTTTTTTCCTTTTAGCACTTTAAATATATCATGCCACTCTCTTCTAGCCTCTAATGTTTCTGCTGAGAAGTCAGCTGATAACCTTATGGGGTTTCCTTTGTATGTAATTTGTCTTTCTCTTGTGGCTTTTAGGATTCTCTCCTTACCTTTAATTCTGGATATTTTCATTATGATGTGTCTTGGTAAACTAGTCTTAAAGATGAGCCTTCCCAGACTTGAGATGGGGAAACTAGCATTTTTACACCTCAAATAATCCTTCTATTATCTGAAGTACTAGTCTGCAAACACACATTTAGAGACCACTTAATACCACAGTCCCCAAAGTCACAAGAATCACAAAGTTGCCTACTAAATGTATTACCCATTTTCGATTACTTAGAAAAGTATCCTAACATAGTACACACATAATAAACATAGTGATATAAGTGTGTAGATAGGAAAGTGAGCTCCAATAATATAAGAATAGAAAACTACCCAATAGACTTCAATTTCAAAGACAGTATGCGACCTATCATTGATAAACCAAAGTCGTGGAGATGGTTGCACACATTTACAGAGTTAAAAGGACTGGCTGCTGGAAGCATCATGGGCTCTAATTGTAGAACAAGGCTATAAGGAGGAGGTGGAATATGAGAATGACATTTGGAAAACAGATATGATCAATAGGAATGGAACAGAGGAAAGGATCCTCTCTGGAACAAAGGCCATGAAGTGAAAATGAAGACCAGGAGACACTGACCAGGACAGCATATGGGAAGTTGATGTGTTTGAGAAGCAGACTAAGGTCTGATGGAGAAATGATTGCAAATAAGATACTGAGCACTGAACCTTGGGAAGCTCCCAAGGTAAGAGACTGATAGGAACAGGGGGATACAACAAAGGAATAAAATTGGAAACTTCAGTGTCATCAGGCATAGGGCAGAGATAATTGATCCATGAGTGTATGAAGTACACTGGTTCCTTCTCCACAAGATGTAGCTGAAGTCACGAGTGGCTCGGTGATATAAACCCATCTGTATACAGCAAAGATTCAGGTGATGCAAAACATCCTGAACAATGTAGAGAAGGGTCCATGGCAGGTCACTACAGAGTCTTCATGGAGTGACTTCCTTGTGCAAGAGATGCAGAACAAGCTAATCTACTCAATCTTCCCTAGAGATTTGCACATTCTTCCACAATTATGACAGGAGACGTGGCCTCTCATACAGCTAAGGGCCTCTCAAATAGGTGCAGGAAAGAAGCAGCTGGTGCAGCAAAGACTCACTGATGTGTGGTTCTGGGGAGGAAGTTTGTGTTTGAGGCTGAAGCACTGTGGGAGGAGAGCTATAAAGCTGCTGACAGTAATAAACTGCCACATCTTCAGCCTGGAGGCTGCTGATGGTGAAAGTGAAATCTGTCCCCGACCCACTGCCACTGAATCGGTCAGGGACCCCTGTGGCCCTGCTGGATGCATAGTAGATGAGCCACTTAGGAGCCTGCCCTGGTTTCTGCTGGTACCAGGCTAAGTAGTTTTTCTGGTTGGAGCTGGATAAAAGACTCTGGCTGGACTTGCAGTTGATGGTGACCGTATCTCCTACAGACACAGCCAGAGAGCCTGGAGTCTGGGTCATCACAATATCCCCATAGACATCTGCAATCAGGAATGGACAGTGATTATATATTGCATCACTAATTTATCCAAATGCACATCTAAGAGATGTAGTTTTTTGTTATTTATCATATAATTAGACTGTTTTAGATGTTTCATTCTGCATGTAAAAATCATTTTCCAATTTTATAAAGATATTTCTCCTTTAAACGTCTCACCTGAGACCCAGAGCACCAGGAGGATGAAGAGTTGTGGCTGTGACACCATCTTGATGCTGCTCACCCGTCTGACTCACTCAGGCCCCATCTCCTGGAAACCCCATTAATAGAGTTCTGAGCAGTCAGCCTACTACCAGTGTTGCCTATGCAAAGCATCAGAGAGTATGAAAGCAAAAGCGCTTATGCAGTGAGTTGTGAAGACAAATAATGGAAAGAAGGAGACAAGATTATCATTACCCAGGAAATGTGATTGTATGCCTACAAGAAACCCAGCAATCAACTTAAAGCTACGATTTTCAATACAGTTCAGCAAAATTCCCAAATGTAAAATGTTTTTAATATCAACCCTACTCTTTGAAATCAGCTGAAATCAACTTGAAAAAAATAATTTATAATAGAACAAATATAATTTTCAGTACGTATATGGAACTTATTTGAAACATAAACATCATGTCAGTACATGAAATATATTCATGTCACTGGATAGAATGAGGATATGGTGCACACATTTATATCTCTATCTCAGATTCTTTCTTGAATTTTAAATACCTATTTGAAGTTCCTCATGGACATCTCATAAGCATCTCCATACATCCAAACCAGACCTCGAATATTTTACTCAACACAAACACTATCTCAGAAAATAAATCACCACATTTTATGAACCACCCTTGTCACTGATCTCTAGGTCAACCAGTTTCTCAATATCAGTTTAAGTCCTCTCAAATTTCTCTTGTCACTAACTGATCTAAGGTGTCACAGCTCCTCCTGGGGGTGATAGGTGAAACATCTTTAGCTAAAGCAGTTCTTTATTTATTCTTATTCCAAATCAAAAATATTTATAGAATTACACAAATAACAGTATCAAACTCTCCTAAGCATGCATTTTGAACAACTTCATCAGCTCCTTGACCTCATAGTGTTTTTATTAATGGGAGGGGCAGACAGTAAACAAAGACATAAGATTTCTGCTGCTGCTCTTAATCCACTCCTTCTGAGATCCCTCCCCTGAAGCAATGTCATTACTTAGGGTGAATGGAGCAATGGGTATCCAGGTCCATTTAGTGTATCCTCATCCCTCTGCATAAACAGCTGGAAGAAGATGGAACAAATTGGTGTAATTGGTTAAAAACTTGTGTTTCCTGGAAAAGTAAAGTCAATTGTGGTCTCATTAATTGCCAGGTGTCCAAATGATCTTTTAAACATGGACAGTGGACTTTCAATTTATCACATCCGTGCAGCATGAAACCACTCCACACACAGGTCAGTAACAAGAATCAATGCTCTGACACTACAAAAATCAGCTGGACCCAGTTTTAGCAGAATGTCTTTTAACACATTTAATACATATTTCTAGTGAAGATCACCTTCTTCTGCTTTACCTTTATCCGTTGTTTTCTTCGAAAATGATGTTTCCCTCAACTAAAAGAGAGAAAGGAGCCTTTATCTTTTATGTCCCTCGTGTTTATGGCGACCCCTCCTTGAAGCTCTTACTTATCTTTTCCTTCTGTAATCCTTAGTTCAGGCCTTTGATTACTGATGGGGGAGTCAACATTTGTATTTTCTCCTTCAAAGCATCTATTTTGTCATTTCAAAGCTCTCAATTATTATTTGGTAGACTGGTTTGGGGAGTGTTGATTCCAAGTCAATTCCAGGGAGGAAATGCAGGACAGAGGACTACCTTTCAGAGAAGCCATCTCCTTGACTGCAATGATCTGTAGTGACCTATAAAAGGATGGTCATTACCTAAACTTAACCATGTGGAGAGGATGTTAGATACCTGATGGAATGATCAAATGTGAGGAATGGACACCATATATGATCAAAGAACACATAATTCCGGGATCTGTTGGCATCAATGCTAAAGTTTCCCTGAGCACATGGGGGAGGGCGGAGTTGAGCTATAAGAAGACAGCGGACCTTAATGATACAAATGAGCCACAAGATTGACCCTTTCTTTCAGCCTGCGACCCTGGAATTTTCTTTTGTTTAACTACTCTTCCATTTAATGCAGGGTCCATTAAAGTTTCTGTTAACTGTAACTAAAAATCTGCCAAATGACACTCTAGTTTTAATCAATATATTTTGGTAATATAATTGGAAACATCACCATTTTATTTTTTACTCTACGGTGTCAAGTTCCAGGAAATGTACAATACTTGTTTAAAATAGATCTGTTCTTATCCTAGAGAACCATACAAATATGTAGGGCAAAACTGTATATATCAGTAATTTCTGGAGAGAAAGTTTACTATTTCCTGAGGTTGTCAAAAACGATTTTTATTTTAAAACATTAAAAACCCTTAACCTGAAGTATAAATTCATCTTTTACATCTTAGTCACAAGCATGAGACAGAATATGATCTTATTCAGGAATAAGAGTAGAAGACAGGGAGGATTTGAACATACATACACACACACACACACTTATTAGTAAAAATAATAGCAAAATTGGTAGCAGCAATTATCCATATGTTTTAATTAGACATGTGTTCACACATATTCTTTATCATAAATTAGATCATCCTTATTTCCTAAATAGGAAGAATCCTGCTTTTAATAGAAATATTTAGAATTCATTTTGATAGGAAAGATATCAAAAGGCATTGGGTAGCATTTAACCATATGAGTCAGTCCATGAGCCATCATTGACACAGACAACTCCAGGACCACTGTGCCCAGATGGGCTTTCCTACTCTGTGTTGTAGACACAGGTTCTCTCTCTTTGCAGCCACCACGAGAAGGCTTAGGGACTCCTTGGTCTTGTTATAATAATAGCAGAGTCAGCTTTGTCTCCATCCTCCCCGTCCTCTCTGCAATGCACAGCAATTCTCCAGATGATATGGTCTTGATCTTGAGCCCACATAGAGAGAATTAACTCTCAGACAATTAACCTTGTCTGATCCAAGGTTTATCAAGTTTATCCTAATCCAGGTTCCAATTCCAGGGCCAGCCATTCTATTTAGTTGAAGTAAGAAACAGTGATATTTGTTTACTTATTTATTTATAGATAATCAGGTCTGGAATCACTAGTTAAGGCTTTCATACCAATAAAGAACGGAGGGGAGAAAGTAGAATATGAATGTCTCCAAACAAGAATAAGATGCATTCCACTAGTTCAGTGGATACTAAAGGGACCTATGCCTGGGTTGAGACACTGTTGGGCCACTCGGAGGCGTCCTGCTTTAAATTTCAATCCGAACTAGTCCCCGCCCCCAACTCTGCGAATGCTGGAACCTGGCCCTGCTAAAGCAAGGGGGAGTGTCCTGTGATTATTTTAATTAGCCCCAAATCTCGTCTGCTCCACTGGTTTTTAATATGCGGCTGGCTTCCTCTGGAGCTGGGTGTCTTGTTAAGTCGCTAATTTCTGCCCCTACCCTTCCTCCTGCTTTCTGGCACCTCAATAGTAGCTCACCTGCTCCAAACCATAGCAGACAACTCTAGTCAAAGGATAGGAAGACCTAATAAATAAAAACGTCAAAATCAGCACTAGCATCATCATGAATTTTACTTTGCTGTGTTTCTCAGAGTAAATATGATAGTAGGCGTTTACCATTGAAAATATCTTTGTTTGTAACTAGTGCTAATGTTCTAAGATTTCTTTATTTTAAGGGTAAATTTCCCTGGATGAGACCCAAGTCTATTTTACAAATTCTTAATAAAGCCCTAAGAGTTTTCTAGTTTTTTTAAGAGTAAAATGTCTATTTCACGGTAAATAAAAGAAAAAAGAGACCTATGGCTTTGGTCAATGATGTGTGTGAGAGATACATACCCTTGAAGAAACACGGTATTATCTCTGTGCATCTGCAATAAATTACTTGTTCTTTTAATCTTCATAATGATGGGTCAGGGCCATTCCAAAATGATTTACAGTAAATTGAGTATAATCTTGAGAACTACTTTATATATATGTATATATGTATATGTATATATATATATTAAATTGAAACAATTTTACATGGAAATGTTGCAAGTAAAGCATAAAGTAGCTATTTTCCCCTGAACCATTTGAGAGTAAGCTGAAGATCCAATAGCCCCACCCTCTAAAACTTTAGTATGTATTTTCTACAAACAATACATTCTTCTACATAACCCTGATACAGTCATGAAATCAAGAAATTAGCATTAATGCATCAATCTATCCAGTCCTCAAGTCCATTTCAAGTTTTGATGATTGTCCCCCAAATGTCTTTGGTGACAAAAGGACTCCGTCCAGAATCCCACGTTGCTTTTAGTTGCCCATGTCTCTTTAGTCTCCATCAGTCTGGAACAGTTCTTCAATCTTTCCTTGAATGCCATGACCTTATCCTTTGGAAGCTTGTTTTATAGAATGGCCCTACAGTTGGATTTCTTTGTTTCTTTCTCATGATCAGATTCATCTAATGCATCCTTGGCAGGAATATCTGGAAGTGACACTGTCCGTGATCTTCTCACTGCCTCCTATCAGGTGGTGCAGGATTTCAATCTGTCCCATTGCTGATGATGTTCAGTCTCAGTCCTGGATTAAGGTGGTGTCAGCCACAATTCTCTACTTCACTGTAAATCTTTTTCCTTTTGAAGTGAAAAGGAGTTTTTGGAGAAGTTTCTTAATATTTTATAAATATCCCACTCCTAATCAAAGTATCAGTATGCACTCGTGGGTTCATATTTTCTTCAATGGTTATAATGTGTTACCATCATTATTTATTTTGATACACAAATTTCTCCAGATTTGATCAATAGGAATCCCATTCTACTTGACTTCTCTTGCCTTTTGTCACAACTCTGTAATAAATTCATTGAGCACTTCCTTAGTTTCTGGCACAAGGTTGTCTAGGCTCATCTTGCATATTCCTTGTCAGAATTGGAATCAGTCATTTGTTAAATTGACTTCATTAGAGGAGAAAGGTATTTAGAAACCAAGTTCTGGGCACTATGGGTGCTGATTGAGATTTTATGTCATTGCTTTTGGCTAGGGGAAATTGTCTATATATAGACACCTTCATATCTATATCTGTATGCAACCATGAGTTTACACTAATATCTGCAATTGCAATCCAAAACAATATTTTACTCAAGTAATTTCACTTTCCTTATTGGCAACTCCTTTAATCAATAGTGAGAATCTTGCCTCTAATTATATTTAATGCATTTACTTATCTAATCAACAACCTCTCACAGATGAAACCAATCTCTTGCTGTCGATGTCACCTACACACTCCTTGCAGACAACTACACACACACACACACACACATTCATATACATTGCTTAGATCTGATACCCCTTGCCCAGCCAACACCACTTTGTACCCCTTGCATGATTGCCCTCCTCACCCAGCCTAGTCTCTGACTACTGCACTGAGCCCCACTCCCACCCAGGTTAATGCCCTCCTCATCCTACACCAACTGGGACATTTGTACTGGGCCAACAGAGTCACTCATACGTGAGACCACCCTCCTGACCCCACTCTAGCTTCAAATTTCCATGCTGAGCTTCCCCCTTCAACTCAGTGAATGCTCTTTCCATATTGTGTGGGCTCCAACACCCTGTGCATGTCTTCCAATTTCACCTTTCTGCGTGGTTGTCTTCTCACTCTGCTTGCACCCTAATGACGTAAAGTTCATGACATGCTTCTGTCAGGAACTGGAAGACATACAATGATGGAGAAATGTACATATTTAGACCACAGAGTAGGCCCAAGGATATAGATGACCACTTGGTCTAAGGAGGAACTCGGCTTCTGGAAGGAAGCTTCCTTAGGAGGGATGAGCGCAAGCAATAATCTGAGGAGCTCAGGTAACATGTGACATGGATTTGTACATATAATGGCATGCAGAGCTAGAAAGGTAGATGACGCTTTTCATATGTGGAGGGAGAAAATCCCTGACCATGGCTGGCCTAGTTGGAAATGATGAGATAGAGAAATCAGAGATGGGGGATAAATCACTTAGCTAAAGATGATAGATTAGCAATGGCGGATACACTGTGCCTGACACTGTCTTACAAATCATGTCCCTGCAGTTTTTTTTTCTTTTTTATTGCTCTTAAATCTCATCAAGTCATGGCAGGTAGTGCGCGTAATTTACCACACCAAGTGCTTAGGGATTCAAGCCAAGAGAAAACTCTCTGGCCTTAATAAGATGCACAGGGACCAAATGTAAGGAGCTTGCAAAATTTTTTTGAGGTTCTGGCGTTGTGTCATGCCCAACAAGCCCTATCATTGATGAAGAGTTAGCAAGAGAAGCATGTCATGAACCTTGAAGAGAGCAAAACAACATTCTACTCACTGGACAGTACATGATTCTGTCCTGTGGCCCCCAGGGAGACAAATGTTCTCTGCAGGCAAATTTGTGCTGCCTTGGTGGGTCCTGGGACACCTGTGAAACTCTATGCTGTGTTATTGAGACAAGTCAAACCTGCAGCTATGTCAAGCCCAGACCCAGCTGCGAATCAGCTGTGATTCATGTATTCTCTGAGCACAGTCCACTACCCTGAGGCTTCTTAGTGGGCTAGTCACACCATGTGCAGGAGTCAGTGCTATTCAGGGCATAGCATGGACATGAGAGCCCTCATTTTGCTTCTCAGCCTCCTGCTGCTCTGCCTTCCAGGTAAGGAAGGAGAACACTAGGAATTTACTTACATTGGTGAAAACTGCCCCTTCTTCAATTCTCATTGCTGGATCCCCCTCAATGTGCCCATGTGTCTGAGACATTTGAACATTGCCTCAACCCTGTGTGGTCAGTACTGCCTGGTCTTTCGGTGAAGTCTTCTTATAGCATGATTAACAGTGTATATATTTGTTTTTATGTTTCCAATTTCAGGTGCCAACTGTGAAGTCCAAATGACACAGTCTCCATCATCTCTGTTTGCATCTCTAGGAGACAGAGTCACTATCACTTGCCAGGCTAGTCAGAGCATGAGCCGTTGGATAGCTTGGTATCAGCAGAAATCAGGGAAAGGTCCTAAGCTCCTGATCTATAAGGCATCCACTTGGCACACTGGGGTCTCATCACGGTTCCATGGCAGTGGATCTGAGCTCTGTAGTAATAAGATCATTAAATCATAAAACAGGTCATGTGGGACACACACACAAACACATCAGTTTAAGAATTTTCTCTTTCGTTATTTGACCCACCTTATCCAAATAACTTAGAGACACTGGGATGAGGGGTCGGGTGGAAAGGAGCTTCTGAGAGAGCTGAGCCTCAGTGAGCAGCTGCCTAGGGAGGTTTTTCTTTAGACCTAGATCACCGTGGGAGTAATCACCTTACTCTGCTGGCAGTAATAGTTTGCAGCATCGTCGGCCTCCACAGGATTAATTGTGAGGGAGAAATAAGTCCCAGATCCACTGCCACTGAACCTGGCTGGGACTCCAGACTCTCGATTGGATGGTACATAGATCAGGAGTTTAGGAGGCTGTCTTGGTTTCTGTTGATACCAGTTAATAAAGCTGTAACTGCCTGAAGTGACACTCTGACTGGCCCTGCAGGATATGGCAGCCCTCTGACCTGAAGACACCATCAAGGAAACTGGAGACTGAGTCAGCACAATGTCCCCAGTGGAGCCTGGAATGATAAACACAATAAACTTAACAGATATACTGAGATCATCCCAATGTAGGCCCATTGCATTGGTGACACTTGTAATCACAGTCACAGACAACACTTTATTTAAGTAACCAGAAAACTGGGTGACTTGAAACTTACAATGAACACTTTAGTTCCAAGGACCAAGAATTCAGAGACATAGAAAGCATTACAGCCACCATCAGTTTGCCCAACATTTCTCTGTATACCCTCCCTCTGACCTGGAACCCAGAGCAGCAGGATCCACAGCAGTGAAGCCCTTGAACCCATCTCTGAGAGCTGAACTAGAGGCTTCTCCTCAGGGGCCCTGACAAGCTGTCTTTAAGGATACCATGAGCAGCCTGGAGCATTGTCTAATAACACAGCATGCAAATCAGCTCAGAAGAGCTTGGGTTGATGCTCAAGAGGGACACCTGCTCATATTTCACCCATTGGGACTTGGGGTTAGAAAAGTTTCCAAGTGTAGCTCAAGCATGTCTCAAGGGAATTTGTGACCAGTTTGTTGAAACTCTGCCTTCTAGTCTTTCTGAAATGCCATGTGGCAGAGTGTACTGGGGATGCCCTTCAGTTAGGATATAAATTGTTTCAGGAACACTCTTGACCCTAAAATTACAATTTTAAACAATCACAAATAATAATGTATTTCAAGTTGTGATTGTTGTCAGGAAGAGAAAGCAGTGGGTTTTATAAAAGTGAAAGTGAGTGGCTTGGTTGAGATAGGGAGGGGAAGTTGGCTGCACTGAGTAAATGGCCTTTAAAACAAGTCCCGAAATATCATCAGGAGCTGGAAAGAATGAGGAAGGTGAGCAATGAACCTTGATGAAGGCTGGGAACCTAAACTAATCAATGAACTTGCATCAATGTGGGTAAGAGAAGGACTCTCCATCTGCTCCGTATGAAAATCAATGCTGTGTCCCCCCGAAGTTCCCACAGGCAAAGGAGTCATTTCTGTTCAGAGTGGAGAACAACTAGTCTCTAACTCCCTGTTGACCCACATTTCTTGTCATTGGAGGCTAGAGCTGAGAAACCCCATGTTCTCCTACAGCAACATATGGTGTCCCAAAGACTCTGAGAATGGTTACAAAGTTGACATTAAATTTATTTTAGACTATGAAGTGAATAGAAAGATTTAAATCTAAAAATATTTCTTGGGCCGGCCTGGTGGCTTAGTGGTTAAGTGCACGCACTCTGCTGCTGGCGGCCCGGGTTCAGATCCCGGGCGCACACCAACGCACCACTTCTCTGGCCATGCTGAGGCCGCGTCCCACATACAGCAACTAGAAGGATTTGCAACTATGACATACAACTATCTACTGGGGCTTTGGGGGAAAAAATAAATAAATAAAAATAAAAATATTTCTTGGAGGTTAAAAGGGTGTAAGAAAGCTATTAAGAGTTAGCTAGGTTAGGTATTCTAGTTAATATACTCGTGGGCAAATACTTATATCAGCCTTTTAAAAATTGTTTAAATATTGTAGCCCAGGAAAATTGTGTTTTTGTTACAGGTAAAAGGGTAATTATTGGATTTATTAGCATATACATTTATTTTATCATTTTCTAAAATTCTACGTGATATTACCTTTACTCAACAAGCAAAATCTTTGGCAATATCTCTAAAGAAAGTCATCATCAATTTTAAGGACACCAATGGAGTTAGTGGCTACTCACACTAGAACAAACGGTAGCCACGAGTGGATTCAGGATCCTTGTCAATGAGCTTCCAACCCAGTTTGTGGGAAGAGTCCAGGAGTCCTTACCCTGTCTATACTTTAACTATCAAAAAAGGAGATACTGACAGTGTTGTCCTTCACTGGTTGGTAAAGTCATCCCCAACTCCCCACAGATGCACAACTCTGAACACAAACGCCAGGCCAACTGGGCAGGGAGGCTCTTTTGTGCCAATTCATCCCTTTTTCCATAGCACTTGCAGCAGAAACAGCAGCACTTGCTTATTTTGTTGACAATCGTATAAGATACAAGGGAAGGTCACATGTCTCAGCTTGTAGCTGTTATCCTGATTCCCAGGGTAGAACAAGGTGTGAAAACACTCACTTCAGATTATGTTAGTGAGATAATCTACAATAATCCAAAAATAGCAAGGATACTAGCTTATCTGCAATCTACTGCCCTGTGTAGGTTATTGAATAATTGAGAACCAAACACAAAGTATCCCATGGAATGCTGTCACTACAACTAGCAGAAGGTTAGAGGAAAGGTGGGTTTCAGGGTTATTCAAGTCAATGGGTGAAAGTAAGAGCAAATGGTTTCCATCTCACTGCTTTGTCATCCTCAGTCTACTCAATTAAGCCAACTTTGTGATTGGAAAGTGGTTTCTAACAGAGGTATTGAAATGAAACTTTCTGAACAGCCAGCAGGAGAAAGAAACTATCCTCTCCTTGAAGCAAGAGATACTATTTTTAAGTTCTTTCTTTAGTCCTATTGAGTGTCCCATAACAACAGCAGTAACAACAACAGCTACAAATAATTGTACATTCTGATTTTGTTTAGTCAGAATCCATCAGTAGAACTTGGGATTATATGAGGTTGCCCTGAATCCCAAGTAGAGGGTGGAGGTGGAAAGCTTAAAATTTTGAAATATTTAGAAGGTAGAAAGTGTTTACATACTCAATAAGCATCTAAGACCTTTTCCACACTCATTAATTTGTAGAGATCTGTGTAGTAAGACAGAGTAAATCTTCAAGATAGACCCCAGGGGACAAGAAAAGATATATTCCAATCCATCAGCCCAGAAAAATACGTAAGCATTCTCACACTGTGCAAACAGAAAATAAAGAGATTTCTTAGATATCTTGGAACCTAAATTTTTTCCAGTTGTCAGAAATAGAACTAGAAGACATCACTAGTCTTACCTCAGAGGTCTCTGCAGCTTCTGTATAACTCAGATTGTAGTGCTCCTTTTGCAGTGACCTAAACATCTTTGAGAGGCTTCAGCAGGACCCAGTGGGACAGTGTTTCCCATTTATTTTTTTATTTCCTCGTCGTTACAAGAAGAGAGAAGAGAAGCTGAAAGAAGGGCAATCTTATGGACACATGTGAGTATTCAGTTCTTGAAACTGGGCTGCTATGAAGATAATGGGACAGTTGCAGTAAACACTGATAATTCACTATTACAGGAGAGCATTCTGCTGTAATAGCTAGTAGAGAAGGGGCAACAGAGTAGGGAGTGTTTAAGAGCTACAGACCTTGAATTGCTCATACCTCTCCCCACAGTGGACAAGGAAACTTGTGGTTTGGGGCCAGAGTCTTGGGAGAGTCTATTCATGCTCTGCTGACGACAATGAATTTGAGCATCATCTGCTTCCCCAGGGCTGACTGTGAAAATATGTCCCAGGCCTACTCTTACAGAAGTGATTGGAGATCCCATAGGCATTCTTGGATGCCAAATGGATCAGGAGCTTAGAAACTTGTTTCTCTGGTTGCTAGTTGTATACAGTGATTGTGGACATACAGCTGGTGACCCTTGACTGGAGAGATGTGTGTTAGTGGCTCCCTCTCCTGGAAAGATGGTCAGAACGAAGACAGGTTCAGCTCATTGTCAAAGTTAGAGCCTAAAGTAAAAACTACACAATGATCAAGGACAAATACAAGTGTGCTTGGGAAATGTCACATGGTGTGTGAAAAGTACACACCGGGAAGGGTCCTCACTCTGAGCAACCAGCAGCCTAGGGAAGAAGTGTGCACACAGTCAAGTAAACACACATACACAAACACACACGTACACACACACATACACTCCAATTCCAGCTACCAAGATGTTAGGAAAGATTGATGGTGAGGTGTGTCAAAGAAAATCCAGAGCTAGACAGCAGTTAAAGTGTTAAAAACATATTTTATTCAGGGCTATTGCAATATGGGAAAAGAGGACCAGGCTCAATTCTGAATACTGCTGGGCAAGTGGGAATTTATAGCCAAGGAGCAGGGTGGGAATCAGTTAATGGAAAACTAAAAGGAAACATCAGGACTAAGGAGAGTCTGGCTAAAATGGTCAAACAGGATCTTTGCTAAAGACACGCCAGGGTGATCAGATATCAGCTGGAAGATAGTGGAAGATGAAGAACCCATGAGACATCAAGGGTGATCAAATATGCAGGAATCTTGCTAATCTGACTTAGCAGGTTTCTTGCTGAAATGAAATTTTACAAGGAAGTGCATAAATGGGCCTAGGAGAAGGTTAAGGAGACTGAATAAAGTTTGGTCAAGCAAAGAATCTTTGTTGGGTGTTTTTCCAGTTTTTCTTTGTGCTTCCCTCCTACCTGGTATCCAGGGCAGATGGAACAAGAGCAGCTTAGCACTTTGCCTACTGTGTGCTCTCAGCCAAGGGCAGAGTAATTTTAGGACCTTCAAAAGCATCCCTTAAAGATGCTCTCAGCCTTCAAGACTATGACCTCGAGACAAAATGCAAAGATTCTTTTCTGTAAGCATCTGTGTGATTTCTCTTTCCTCTCATTGTCTCTTGAAAGATTCCCTCAATCTTAGTCCCACACGATTATCACTTCTCTTCCAAAGACTTTAAAATTTCAACTATCAGCACAGTTTTTTTCCAGGTCCCTGATAACATCTACTTGTCATGAGCTAATATATCCAATCTTAAGTACATATATATTTCTATTAATTTCGATTTCATATATTCTAATTATCAATTAGCTGCCTTAAAATTTTTTAAACTTACATCATAGATCATAAACTTAAATCATAGAGATGATTTTCCCATAAAATCCCCTAGAGAAAAGGTATTCTGAGGAGATTTCATCTCTTTACATATCTTTTCTTGGACTAGGCAATAGAAGGACAGAGGTAAGAGGAATATCACTCAGCAATAAAATTCAAATGATCCTCAAAACTATGCCTAGTCAAAAGAATCAGACCCCAAAAACCACATGTTCTATGATCTCATTCATATGAAAACTCTAGAAAATGAGAAATTATGTAAACAGAAATCAGATCAGTGTTTTCATGGGCCAGGTGTGGGAGCAGAGATTGACTACAAATAGGCACAAGGAAATTTTTTTCATAATGGAAATTTTCTAAAACTGAATTTAATGGTAGATGTCAAACTGTATATATTTACTAAAATCTATTGACTAGAACACTCAAAATGGGTGAATTTTATAGCATGTAAATTATGCTTTCAAAAACCTGATCAAAAAATTGAAATCAAATTGCAGTTCCAAAATAAAAGAGATTCATTGCATTAGGCTCTGAAAATATGGATTAGGAGTGTATTAATCTGCTCACACATTGATCAGCCTTATAATCAGAGAGGGG